GAAACAGCAGGATGGGGGGGTTTCCATGTGACCAGCTGGCTAGAGCTGTGTGCCTCCCCCACTGTGCCTTGGGCCGCTCCGCCCAGGTGCAGTAGCCATCTTTCGGGCCCCAACGGGCATGCTCACACTGCGCCCCAAATCTGCGAAATATGCAGATCTGGGACAGGCCAATCTGAGGTTTTGGGCATGGTCAGGTCACACTGCTGTACCTTTTCAGATGGGACAAGGCCCTGGTCGTCTGCGGTAGCGGCAACTTGGTACCCTGCTGGTCGCACGGCACCACCCATAATCGGTGCAAGAGCTGGTGACCGCGAATTCCCTTGTCCCGCGGCCATGCAGGCTGCCTGATCGAGGCACGCAAATGGTACATTTAGGACCTTGGTGAATCTGTGTGATTGGTCCTGCGACTCACGGGCCCCGACGGCATACTCCCACTCACCCTTTTTCTCAGCAGACCGGGGTTGGCGGACGCTGAACTGCCACACAGGGTCCTTCGGCCTCGTGGGSAAATCACCCTTCCGCTCGCATGTACGTTGGCCCCTCGGCCCGTGCTTCAATGGTTCATGCGTGGGGTCACGACCGGTCCTAAGACCGGTACCGGACCACGCCYYGTTGTGGGACGAGATAAATAGTAATAACAAAATAGAAATAAAAATAAGAATAATAACAATTTARAAAATAAATTTAAGAAAAAGCGGATAGGGGGTKGGGAACCGTCGGAACCCAGCCTCGGTCCTGCCTCGCGGGCCCGCTGTCGGACCCCCCCAGCAAAAAAGCAAGGGGGATAGTCCCACGGGACCCTCAACCCCTCGGCTCCCCTGTGCTCCCTCGCTCCTCCGCTGCTGCCCTCGCTCTCCGCATCTCCGCCGTGTTAGCCCAGTACCGTAACCTATAGGGCCATGCCCCAGCCTGGTACTGGCCTGCGCGTGATCGCATATAATTGGTACACGCAGCCCCTAGGCCTAGGACTAGCCCGTCCCTCACTCCCTACTCCACTTATTAAGCGCCTGCTGCTGGTAGGCCCCTTCACTAGCCTACCCAATTTGTGTCGCGGCCGCCTCGCACCCCATGCCGTACTTAGGACCRTCAACGGCCACTACTCCAACTAAGGCACCTCTTATTCCTAGTAACCAAGATCTGGCCGGCCAACTACGCCGGTTGCATAATCAAAAGTAGAGCAATTACACGCGCGCCTTAAACCCGCGCGCCCCCACCCGCTCTACTCCGATTAGACACCCTAGCCATGTAGCCGAACCGACTTAGGCGCGTCTCGCGCAGTACACTTTAGACCTTCCCTCTTAGTTCCGGTTACTTGCAAAAACTAGGGCGGATACCCTTGTCTGGGTATTCGCGCCGACAGCTTACCAGACCATATTAAGCGATGTCCCTGTCGCTTCGCAAGATCAAAAAGCTACAAATCCAACCACAACTCGAAATGCTGACGAGAAAAGGAACCAATCCGATTAGTCGACAGACTTAGGGTAGAGGCCTCCATCAAGCCATGCCTCCACAACTATATGCTGCCAGGATTCTAGCCCGACCCTCATCGCCCAGGCACTAGGATGCTGACAGCATAAGTTCCAAAGACCCTCTCAACCGTCCTCATCCCCTGGTCCTAGACAACCTTCGGCTTCTCGTTGGGTGTCCCTAGTCGTGGCCAAAACTAAGGACGCAGGCCCTAACCGAGACCTTTGAAGACACTCTCGCCTTCCTTCTCAGAAAATCTCCCGCAATCAAACACACATACGCATATACGTATACTTAATATTCACTCAGCTCTTTCTGCAGTCTAGTACAAAAAGGCGAGGTCCCCATCTTGGCCCACCGCAGTCTGGGTGGTCGTGCCAGGTCTACGGCTCACCGCGTTTGTTAACTCAACGGTAATGTCTTCGCGGGTTGCGCCGCGATAGATTATTTCTCCTGATAATCATTCAATCAGGACTCCAAAAAGACTCGACTCGACTCCTATCCCACGTCGGTCTACGGGAGTAAAACCCTCCTAGGTGGCCACACCCTTTTAAGTCTTTACTCCCTAGGAACGACGCAGACCCGCTGACCAGGTTGTGCCGATCAGCAGCCAACACTAGGGGTTGCGCCCTAGTGGTGCTAAACTCTACCGTTAGCTTGGTATTCTCATATATGTTCCAGGATTAACACATGTGGTTGAACGGTGGGTCGCAACAATTACGAGCTTACTGCGGGACTATGCAGAGGCCTGTCACACGTAAAAGGTATTTACCCGCCCTCTGTGGGACACACAGGGGATCGTGGTAACCTCTCCACATTTACAAACAGAATCACCGCCAGTTGCACAAGGTCGTGACTTCCTTACTTGATCAGAAAAGGAGGCCACGCATCCCAGTGACATCTCCCAAAAGAAACTATTTGCGACCTCTCCAAACTCTCAACAGTGGCCAAGCAACAAACATGGCCCTTCTCGTCAGGCTTTATTATATACCAACCTTGCTTACCATGCCACCGATCTGGTAGCCACCCTTCATACGAGGGAGGTCTCACTCCATAGGTCTCCCAGCATGTAGCGGGTTGCCTCCTAAAAAAAACCAGGCACCCCTACCATAGTACAACTCAACTTGAGGGACTAACTTATGGGTCCTCATCACAATTCAACAACATACATTCGGCATGGCAAGCATCTGAGTCTCAAAGACTTACAAATCCAAGGGATTTTTATTCTTTCACAAGGACAAACAACACGCCCTCTCCTTATACCTGGCCCCGTTACCTGCCCGCGGGCAGATCGCACAAGTATACCGGAGAGTAGGCAGTTCACATACATTCCATTCGCACACATGTGAGAGTGAGTGTGATCGTCATGTACAAATGACAGTCTCAAACCTCACTCAACTCAGATATACACTCATGGATGAGATATCTCATCCAAAAATCCACAAGGTAACCTCGTCTCCGAACCCACACAAAACAACTCACCCCACCCTGAATATAGTATATGGTTATCTGTACAGGGGATCCCCAAAACAATTCAGTATTTTATTGCCACTTAGTGTACGCCCCCTATTTTACATGATCCTAGTTACAGCGGCCATCCCATGCCGTAGGCCCCCATGTACACACTCAACGTCGTAGGTGTCCACCCTGCCTAAGTAATAGCAAATTCGTCAAATAAATATCCTGAACCAGACCCTACTCACTCATCTCCTCCTGGTTCTGCCTGTACAACTGAGCCCTACCCCCATCTACAGCTCGCTCCACCACTCTACCCTGCCTATCATACATCTTCCCATCATACTCCGAGACCTTCCCGTCTGCCTGGTCCTTCAGGAATTTGAGGCACTGCAATGCCCTGTGCTCTTCCTTCGTACAATAGAAGCAGGTCGAGTCAAACGGCTTCCTAGGCCTTTTCTCCTTCCGCTGGGGCCCTGCTGGCGATGGGGTTTCCCTGGCTTCTCCGTCCAACTCATGGCACTGAGGCACATCTCTGGGTCTCTCAGAGCCTGCCTCCGACTCTCGCGGACTGGGCCCTGGTTGCGCCCTTGCTCCCTCTGGCTCATAGTCAGGAGTATCCAACCTCTGGGGCCTGCCTGCGATGATGCCCTCTATTGCACTTCCCATCTCGCTCTCCAGGGGCTCTTCCAACTTGGACTCTGGTGAAAACAAGCCAGCATCCTCCTGCATAGAGTGGACTGCTTCCAGTAGCACTTCCAAGGATCCTCCTGTCGAGCCTTGGGGAGGCTCATCACTGGCCGAGGGCAGTCTCTCCCCAAGTGACGGTGGCATGGCAGGGTCCGCAACCATTGTGGGTAGCACCGCAAGCTCCGTAGGGGCTCTGAATTCGAAGGCTTCCCTCTCAGCCTTCCTCTTGGCCTCTGCCTCCTCAGGCTCCAAAATGACTCTTCCCATAGGTGCCTCTTGCTGAGGCTCCGCCACCGCTGGYTGCTCCGATACGCCATGTMTTGGCTGAMTCTGCCCCCCTGGCCTGCTKCCTTCCGCCYCATCCTTGYTGCCATGAAGTTGCTGCCTCAATTCYAGGATGGTGGCGGCCTGGCTAGTCACCAGAGCCCTGAGCTCACRGACTTCTGCCTCAAGGGTCCCCAACCGTGACTCCAACCCTGCTTCATGCAGCTCCTTCCCTCTCAGATCCGCCTCCAACATCCTATACCTGTTGAAGGAGGTCTTGGATACGGAGCGAATCCTCTGATCCAAATACTCATCAGCTCTCTGTGAGGTTTCGACCTCTGCCTTGCCTGGGGTCGTCAACCCTTCGCCATGACAAGCAAGAAACTCTCCCCACATCTCCCGGAGCCCATATGGTTTATAGGGCGGTGGCGGACTTGGGAGCACCCCTGCTGCTTCCAATCTTTGCCCTTCCTACCGGATTTCCTCCCAACGTCTTGCCACTCTAGCCCGCTTTTCCTTAGCCGTTTCTTTCGCTGGTACTTCCTCTACCGTGCGTTGTTCGACTTCCCCTGAGATCCCCGTTTCCACCTCTCTCTCAGCCTGACCTGGTTCCCGAGGTGACTCCATAGGTATGTATTCTTCCAGATTATGCTGCTCCAGGGCGTGGGCGGCCAGATGGCTATCGGTCAGACTGTCTGCCTCCCTTCTCAGACTGGCCCCCTCCGCCTCACTTGCCTCCATTCCTGTCGGCGATAGGGCTGTCTCCGGCACCGAGATCGAGACTTCCTCCCTTTGTACTTTCTTCCTCGTATCTGGCGGGCTCTCGAGTGGACTACCGAGCCTCAGCCCCACGGCTGGTCCCTGAGGGGGAGTGTCTTCCTCAACTTCTATGATCTCGTCCCCAATCCGGTCTTTCGTAGCACTCGGCCCCTCCTCTTGTTCAGGGTCTGGGACGTTCTCTTGTGGTACTCCCGCGATGGCCTCAATGCGCCCCTCACTCATCGGCGGCTCTCTCCACTGGGCAGCGTCTAGGTGTGCCTCTAACTCTTGCAATGACCCTTCAAAGGCCGGTATCTCTTCCTGTATATGCTGAGGCGGTCCCCCCAGTCCTCCTCCAGTATAGTGGTGGAACTCCATTGGCCCCAGTCCACCCTCGGGGTGCTCCCCCCGTCGTTCTGCCTCAGGCACGTCCTCCTCTTCCCGCCTAGCAAGCGCCTTCCGTCCTCTCCGCGAGGTTCGGTTTTCAGCGGGCTCAGGTTCCCTCTGCCTGCCGCTCCTGAGGTGCCTTTCGACTCTAGGCTGAGGTGGTTCTGGCTGCCGGAATGCCGCCCTCAAGTGCGCTCTACAACCATCCCAATCTCGGGCCATATCCCTGATCCGTCTGGCCAAAACTCTTTCCGCCTTTCGGGTCCACAGGGGTAACGTCGTCATCCACTCGCTTTGCAGTATTGCCTGGTCCTGCATGAATTGCTCGAATGCTGGGATGAAGTCATATGCATTTCCAATCTCCAGTCGAATAGGCCTGCCATCAGGTCCCACAGGCGAGGGTCGTAGTTCCTGCATCCGCGCCTCCACTTCCGACCTCGTTCGAGCCTCCCTGCGAATCTGTGCGATGGGCTCCACAAACCTGCCAACTCCCCTCAGCCTCTCGATCGTTTGGGTCACGGTCCACCCCATATGGTCAGCGTGGCCCCATAACTCGTCCATGAATAACTCGATATCCCCATCGTTATATACGGGAGTGCTTGCTCGACGGTAAGGCCCATGCCGTCCATGTCCTCCTGATGCTCACGCCGGCCGTCGCAGTGGCCGTGTTCCCCTCCCTCCTCTTGGCATGGCTGCAAGTCAGTCCTGCACAACAGGCGAAGGAGACAACCGACACGCGCCGGGGTAAGCAAACAGGCGCCAAAGAGACACACCCAGGCCAAACCAAGCATATACCCCAAGCAATCCTCCTACAAACCCATCTATTCCATTCTAAGGGGACTGGGCTGCCTATCTCACCTCTTCTCTGGCCACAAATTTCTTCAACCTCGTCCCTGACACCCAGTCTTTCCACTCTGTTCCATTCAGTTCCTCGATCTGGTATGCGCCGAACTCTCCGCATCGCACGATCCGATAGGGACCCAACCACCTCTTGTCCAGTTTCCTGGACCATTGTTTTTCCAGCGATGAATCATACAAGAGCACGACATCCCCAACTACCAAGGGTACCTTTCTTACACGAGCCGACTGGTCCTAGCGAGCCTTATCGTCCATACGGCTCCTCTCTACCTGGTCGGATGCCTCTTGGACTCTTTCCTCAATCGCGCCCACCTGCCGAGCTCGAATATCGAGCAATTATTCGAAAGACAGATTTACCTCCAAGTCCTGACGCCTTCAAGTCTTTAGGAAGCTCTCGATTGGAAAGGTAGCATGTCTTCCATACCACAATGTGGCCGGCGCGTACTTAGTGGTCCTTTTCACTGTGATGTTCTCAACGAAGAAGGCGGCCCTCAGATACCTCGACCACTAGCTGGGCCTACCTTCGGTCCATTTTGCTAGTAGAGTCGTAATGGTACTATGACCCCTTTCCACCGGAGCGTTTGCCTGTGGGTGGGCGGCCGTGGTGTAGTTAGTTACTACCCCATATCTTGACAGCAGCTCTTGCACCTCCTGACAGGTAAACTCCGACCCCCTGTCCATTACGAATTCCCTAACGAACGGGCAGCGTAGGTAATACTCCTCGATGCAGCTGACCAGAACTGGCTCAGTCTTCGTACGGATTGCCCATCCATCTACGAAGCCAGATAGGTTGTTGCGCGCATCGAAGATATAGTTGTAGCCATGATCTCCAAGGGGCATGAACAATAGGTCGAGGTGTACTACGGCCCCGACCTCTCTCTCCAGCCTTGGATGCAGTGACTCTCCTGGCCTTAGACGAGACTGCTCCTGGCACGGCACACAGGAACGGCAGAATTTCCCAACCATCTCCATCATCCCCTCCCAGTAGTATAGCTCACTTATTTTGGCATATGTGGCAGTAATTCCCCGGTGTCCGCCTGCAATGCCATCGTGAAGTGCTGCTATGACGTCGATCTGACGGTTGCGACCACATACCACCCGCCTGGGGTTCCCTACTTTCCTTCTTACGAAGAGATGACCGTCCCTTACTAGGTAGCGATCCCTCATCATCTGCGCCCTATGGCTTGCGTCTCTATCACGCGTCTCGCAGGATAAGAGAAGTCCCAGCTCTAGGTAAATCCCTTTATACTCCTCTGCGCGGAATGCCTCCTTGATCTCTCCCTCTTCAAACTCGTCATCCTAACTCTCCAACACAGTATCTCCTCCTTCGGCTGGATTTAGCGAGTTTTCCAAATCAAGGGACTCCTGCAGAAGCATGTTGACGAGGAGGTACATTCCTCCCATTACTTCCTCGTGACGTTTTACCCTGTCCGGGCCCTCGTCTATTGTCCGTACCTCATCCACCATACAATGGCTACCTGCGAGTGCCAACTTGGTCATCCATTGGACGTCCTTACCACCCCAGGGATCCTCTTCTTCGAAAGGCTTGAGCACCAACTCAACTTTTCGCTCATACCCCTTAGGCGCGTGCCAGATAGGATGGCCAACGCAGCTGGGGACTCGTGGGGACCACTTATTGATATGGAGGCGGATGTCCTCGTCCTGGTCCAGAAAGCCGTCAACTGGGGGCGTATCCTTTACAGCTTCCCCGTCCTGCCTATCCTAATTGATGCGACTTAGCCCATCTGCCCTGTTCTTGCTCCCTTGGATCCATTCCAACTCGAAATTGAACATCCAGATGTATGTCAACCACCTGGCAACTGTTGGATCGGACGGAACATAATTCCTCAGGGAGAAGGCGAGAGCCGTTGGGTCTACCCTCAAGATGAACCTCCTGCCGAAGATGTAGTTTCGAAAAATCCGCAGACAATAAAGGACGGCGAGAGTTTCCCTCTTGAATTGGGAGTAGTTTCTCTCTGACGTACATAGTGTGCAACTCTCAAAGCGCAACGACCTCTCCTTCCCCTTGATGTCTGCTTGGATTAGAACTCCACCCAAGGCCGTCGGTCCTGCATCGGTCTCCACAATGAATGGTCTCGTCTCCGTAGCGTCATAATCGGGCGCTCCTAGCACCAATCCTCCTTCCCGGAACTCCTCTTTGATGTTGGCCACAGCCTCTTCATGATCCTCACCCCAGGTCCACTCCTGATCCTGCCGGACCAGCGTCCTTAATTGCTCTGTTTTTGCCACAAAGTTCTTGACGAAGGACTTCCAAAACCCACACGTACCTAGGAAGCTCCTTACATCTGTTACAGAATGGAATGGCACCGGCCACTCAACTATCTTATCCGTCTTCTTAACATCCGGTCGCCAGCCGTTCTCATTACAGACGAACCCCAAGATAGTCGCTTTCTTCATACAGTGCTTAGACTTAAGCCCACTGGCCGTAAGGTTGTACTCCTCAAGCAAGCCTAGGACTTTATCAAGGTCCTGAACGTGCCTCCAGACAAACCGCCTTACTCCAGGTAGGACCTCATCGTCTTCCCTTTTTCGCAGCCCTTTCACTGCCAGGTCATCGATGTATGGCTGCGTGATGTGTGGACTAATTGTCTGCATGACCCGGATCATATTCCTCTGGACCATTGCCACCGCATTCGTCCACCCTTGTGGAGCCACATTCATGTGGATAAGCCCTCGAGGCGTGTGCATAGCCGTCACTGGTCGGTCCGGCGGGTAGACCGAAAATTGGTCATATCCGGAATAGAGGTCAATAAGCGAAATTATCGGCGTCCCAGCGCATGATTCCGACAGGGCATCAGCATTTGGTAGCCCACCTGCGTCCCGCACTGTCACCGCATTCAGTCTCTGCAAGTCCTGTACCCACCTTAGTGTCTCATTGGGCTTAATAAAGCAAAACCACGGGGATGCGTAGGGTCCGCTTGAGTAGTCGGCGACGTGCGTACGTATTTTGCCATCGAGGTAGTCCACTACCTTCTTCTCTTCGACCGGATCCGGGTATCGCGCCCCTCTTAGGTTCCATGGCTCGTGCGACAAGGTATGGATGCGGATCATTGGAATCTTGTCCACATCCAACCTGCCACGCTCCTCGTCGCTGAACGCATAGGCGCGATGTCTTTTCTTCATCAGCTCCACCATCAGGGCTCTTTCCTGTGGTAGTAGGAAGTCCGGTTCTCCCACTATCAACTTCCCTTCGTTTTCCTCATTGATACGGCATGGCCCTTCTGACGCACTTTTCCTCATCCGCCGTATCAACGCTCGCTCCCGTTCGTAGTACACCTCCTCGTCCTCGGTAACCAGAACGGGAACTGGGCGACACTTTTTGTCTATCGTTTTGTACCGCCTTTGGACACTCTGCTTGAGTCGGCCCCTAAAAAAGGCTGACTTGGCACTCGTGCCTGTGCCTGTGCCACTGCCGGATCCATTTCCCCCTTGGGAAGCCGGTAAACCAGCTCCATTTCCCCTACCTGGGGATACTCCTGAACCTGCTCCCTCAACGCCTGAATGGCATCCGGATCGGCCATCTCGTGCGTGGCCACTATATCCGTGGCCTTTCCCACATCCGACAGGCTGAGCGAGAAGGCCTCACCTTCTACTTCGTCCTCGGGCTCTGCCATAAGCCTCCGATGCGCGTCTTCTGACTCCTCAATCGTGAAGGAGTCAGGGTTGGGCCTGTTCCTGAGGCTCCTTGGCCCAGTGTTCCGGCAGGTAATCACTTCGTAATTCCCGCATGCTGGATCACATAGAATCAGGATCAATGACCTATCATGCTTATTATATATCAAAGTCTCCGTCCTGCATAGGAAGGACCTCCCCAGGAGGATGCTGTGGTCCACATCAGGCATCACAAAGAAACAGGCTCGCGCTTTCACCCTGCCAATCTCCAGTAGCACATTCGAGGTTGTTCCACAGAACACCGCCTTGTTGTTGGCCCCGTGCAGGATGCCACAATCTGAACGGTCTACCTCTAACCCAAACTTGATGGCGTCGGCCTCTCGAATGATATTCATYTYCGCGCCGGTATCCACCATGGCTGTGCATTTGGAGCCCTTTACCGCTAGGTCCACCACGCCACAAGCTACACACTTCCAATCCATTTTTGTCCCTGGCTCTGCCCATTCCATCTCCTTGGGCAGGATCAYGCTGAGGTGAACATTTGGTACCAGTCGTCTTGACAGTCTGCCCTTCAACTCATTGCGGAGCCTGGGCGCAGACGCTAGGATCTCTTTCAGGGTCATTAAATCATTATGGCCCTCAAGCAGCCTGTCAATTACTCGCTCTACATCAAATCCTTCCTCTAACCGGACCGCATACTTCTTCCTTTTTGGCGGTACGTCTCCCATAACCAGTTCGTCCTCTCCCCGACTTTCTCTTTTCTTGGCTCGCTATTCGGCCCTTTGATCTTCTTCCTGACGTAACCGGTCATCTTCCCCTTCATCATCATCATCATCCTCTACCTCTACAGTTTTCTTCCTCTTTTCTGATTCTGGTTCCTTCCGAGGAGGTCCTTGACTCGCACCTGCCTTGGCTTGACTTCGAGTGCGGGCCGCCTGAGCCAGCCTGGCTTGCGGGGTGGGGGGCCTAGTCATCATCCCTGACCGCGGGCCCGTCCCCACAGTGGTCACTCCGGGCCGCCCTTGCATGGATTCCGGACCAGCGTCATAAAGAAAGACCTTGGCGAGGTTATCCCTCCACTCCTTCACTCCCTCGCAGAGACCTACCAACTTCCGTTGGTACCTCCCTACCTTGTCCTATAAATCCTCCATCTTATTCAGCGGGACTACCGTCGGCTCTACCTTTTCATCGTCACCCTCATCGTTCGACTCGATGATTATGGGCTTCTCTCTTACATCCCCGGCCTGTAGCCTCTGGGTTACTTCCTCGTCACTTCCTACTTCCTCAACTCCAACTGGCAGTTCCTCCTTCTCCTGCCATAGCCTGAGCGTGGCAGGGGGTGGCTGTCGTGCTGCCAACCTTCGTTGGGCCTCCGCCCTAACTCCACCGGCCTTCCTATCAATAAAATCTCCAAATTGGTCGTAAATGTCCCCATCCATGTTAGAATAAATCAGTCAATTTTTCTCGTCCTCTCTCCGTATGTTGCAAAACCTAATAGTGTGGCCCTGCTGCTCACAGTGCTGGCATATAGCACTTCTCCAGTCAAAACGGGCCCTTCCACCACCTTGATTCCCTTGGTTGTCTTGGCCGCCTTGATTACCTTGGCCACCTTGGTTGCCCCATTGGCCTCCTTGGCCGCCTTGACTGCCCCATTGGCCTCCTCGGCCACCGCCAGTCCTGCCATGTCCTCGTCTACCGCCCCTTCCTCCATTCCCCTGGTTCCCTTGGCCCACTGCCTTGTGAACTTTGTGTGGGCGTTGGCGTCGGTGGTACCGCTGGCTGAGTTTGGGCGGCGGGGTAGCTCGGAGGTGGCATACTTGTCTGGGGCCCAGCATAGGGTATTACCTGTCCAGACGGCGTTGGGCCACCCCAGGGTACATAGGTGTTAACTAGGGGCCACGACCAGTGCCCAAATGGTGACACTGGTGCTTGCGACGGGCCCGCACTACTTGACGGCCCGGATGAGCTCGGAGATGCCGCTACCACTACTTGAGGCGCCTGGCCCTTTCCTGACCCTTGTTCGCCTTGTGCTAGATTGCGCTGCTTACGCTGCGCCTTCGTAAGGTGTGGAGGTACCGGCTCCTCCTCTTCCCATCCCTCCTGGGTAGCCTCCTCTACCACGGCCCCCTTGCCTTTTTCCTGGACTGCCGCCGTCACCTTCCGCTGTATCACCGGGTCAAGCCCTGCTAATACGTCGGCTATGATCTTCTTTACTCCTGGCGACCCAGCCGCATCCCTATCCTTCCGCTTCTGCCTCTGCAGCCTCACCTGGTGCTGCTCGACCTGGTCGAGGCCTCCAACCTCCACCCCTCTGTCAATGGTGGCCCAGATAAGTTTGGCATTTCCTCCCCCATGGCTTGTTAGCTCAACTGTCTCAGATGCGGTGAGCAATCCCAGGAAGACGGCGCACTGCGCCTCCTCTGATATCCCATGTACCTTTCTCGCCTTCTTTTTGAATTCTTGCAGGAATGCCCCAATGGTGGTGAAGTCGTCCCTATTCGTTGCCTCTAGGTCCGCCATAGTCAGCAGGCCATCCCCCAACCTATACTTCCGCTGCATTCCTTCCTTAAATTTAGCCCAGTCGCCGTTGGCGTCGTCGACCACCTTCCGTACTTTCGGATGGTGCTTATGGAGCACATACTGCAGGATGCGTTTGAATTTCGTCTCGTCTGGTACTCCCACCAAGGCTTGCTCCACTAGGTCCAACCATTCAGAGACCCGTTCCCCATTGAAGTGGAAGGTGTCGACTTTGGGGACACTCCTCGGCGTTCTTTCCCGCTTGTCCATCGCCTCGATGAGATCATCGAGGGTCAGGACCTTGCCTGAACTATCGCCTATGCCGCCTGTCATTTTAGCAGCCTGTCCTTCACTTAACTTCCCTGTAGTAAGACGAGGTACAAAGGCAACTTTACTCAGCACACTCACTCTAGCATAAACCTATCGAGCTAACCACTTAGCTCTTGGGCGTTTCAGACTTTAACTGACACCCACGCCTCTTTCGCTCCCAGACCTACATTCACAAGGTCTACCTAAGCAGTGAGTTTCTCCACATAGTTACTATAGTCATGCAATCTCTCCTATACCCTTCCCTATAGACTCACTTCGAATCCCCCACTCATGCCTGATTTCTTTCTTATCCTAATATCCGGATGTCGTTCCACCAGGGACAACGGCAGGCAACCGTCATCCCCGGCAACGGCGCCACCCGTCGTGCGCATCGGTCCGGCACCACTCAGAGGTAGCGCGGGACCCTCCCGGCCGCGTCACGCAGGAGTCAGAGTACACATCCCGTTGTGGTACACACACGGAGCTTCCACAAGCCGCTCCGGCCGGGTGCGCCAGCCATACCTCTCGTGAGCCCCTACGACAGGACAGGGCCTATGCGAGGTACGACTACCTCCACCTTACGGGATTTGTCACCTCCCTTCGGTGGGCGTATCATCGCCGAGCTACCAGTCCACAGTACGAAAGCTGATTAGCTGCAATCGCAGAGGTGAACCAGCCGAGGGTGTTTCTCGTTCGTTGTAGCATAAGGGGTACGCGCGGTACTACGCCTCTATCGGATCCGCACGCGAACCGACATCTTGGGGGGCTGAGGTCCCAAGCGCGGCTCGTCGCCGGTCGACTAGGACGTATCCCACATGCCACGCGCACACTACTATAACGTACATAAAGGTAAAGCACACGCACACACGCACACGAGCACTGAACGACGTAAAGGACGTACAACGCGACACCCTCCTAGTCCCTTAGTGTCCATCCCATAACTTCCTGGTGCGGGAACCGGCTGAGCGTCGAGCGCGAGACTCAATACAAAGCCGCGCGGGCGTGGGCCTTCTCATATCGGCTAGCAATGCCAACGCACACAAGCAGTCGCGAAGATGGCGCACTATGCAGTGCCCATAATCGAGCGGTCCCTTGTGGATCCGAGTACTGCTTATGACACTCACGTGTCAGACTCGAAGTATCGTGAAGGTTCCGCCCTTCACGACATTGCACGGCTGAAGGACTAGCTGTGCGGCCGCCGCGGCACGTCCGACTTTCGGCCCGAGTGCCCTGGCGGTCAAGGCAAGTAGGCTCTGCCCGAGGGGGGTCCCCTTCAATGCAGGGCCTAGGGCTTGGGATGTCCTGGACAAGGGCCTTGAATCCCGGCCCAGGACCAATGTCCGACTAACAATCTCCTAGAAGCACTTATATAAGTAACGGGGTCATCCTTTCTCTACTAGCCCAACCCCTGATTAACTCCTTAGCACGCGGCCCCTTTCAGGCCACACAAGTACCCTACATAGGTACGCATACATACACATATACACACATATGCACACATATGGGAATGAACGTGTGACGATCACATCTCACAATCATAGTGGGCCTCCTCATAGCCATACACATGTATAACATCGCAGGGCAGTCCAATCCAATAATCCAAGCCCTAGAACGTACCTGCAATCGCATCAAGAAGTCAAGCACAAGTCCATACGCTACACGGAGTCAACTCCAACCAATCTCTATGCTCATACCCTTTGCCTCAGCCATGCAAGCCCCAACCTCCAACCAACCAACCTTAAGTAAATACTCAGTACCTTTGTTAAATGGCCATTCAATAAAAGTCCGGGTGAAACCTTAACAAAACAAAAAAGATCACCAGGGCTGAAGCCTCTTTAGGTTGAGTAAGGAGAGTGGGTTGAGGTTGAGTCGTAACCGACGAGTCGGCAACCGACCTGTTATCTGTGGCAACAGAAGGTGATCCTTGCAGGATCAAAGCTGAATCTAGCCCCAGGTCCTGAATCAATCGATCAAGGAGACCTGTAACACAAGACAGACCAATCTCAAGCTAAGTCCATGAGCTCATGGAGGATAATCTCCATATCACGATCTTACCCAAGTCACCACACTTAACTAGGTCTAAGCCTTATCTCTAGCAAGCGCCCAAGTCAAAGGTAGCCTATGACATAGTCTCTCCTACGTACGTCGCCACCTGTCGAAATACAAGCTAACTCCTCTAATTTAGGAAAATTTCGGCAGCGCTTCCCGTAGAGAAAGTGGCTTACCAAGATTTATACAAGACCAAGTATAAATAAAGGATCCGAGAACTGCAAAAATGAGTCTAAGTAAAAAAAAAACGAGCCCAGAAAATACAGGAAATGACTCTTAACTCCTATGGCTCTAGCACGTGGCGAGCAACTACAGCAACTACCTATCAAAATCCAAACTCAGCCTAAGAAGTGGCATCACTCAGTCACACGCAGGCCAAGCCACAGACATGCACTCTCTCACCATCCCCAAGTTACTTTAGCAAACAATAGTTCGTAGCCTTTCAATGATTTTTCCTTTATACCCAACTTACCTAGGGCATAAGGCTAGACCACCCAAACTTATGGAACATGTCTAGCCCAGCCAAGAAGTATACACAAACACAGAGCACAACAACTTTTCTCTTCTTTGGGCATATGACTAGGCCATCCTAGTCGCCCTGAACAGTTTAAGTATCCAAGATTTATATAATTCGTCTACCCTTAGTCTTTTGAGGTAGCATATAGTTGAGCCGATCATCTTCAACTCAAGACTGTACTCTCACAATCTGCTTTCAATCCATCGAAGAAGTTGAGACTTAACTTTATACATGCATTCTTTTACTTTGTCTGGGTATGTCGTGAATAAAAAGCAAGCTTTATAGGGACAGGCAGGCATACATCAATCAACTATAGGGGGATATGCAAACATGGGTGTAGTGGGAGTATATAGACAGAAAGAAGTTACCTGATGGTTCCCTGCCTCCAGAACCTCGCCTAGGTTCCGCCAGAGCTCCCGCAATCGGTGGGAGGATTCCCCAAAGAGTCTTATTGCGGTCCTACGGGTTGCAAACCCGCCTGCCGCCTTCCCCTCGTAACCAATTTACTAGACTTGGAGTAAGAAAGGCAGATAGAGAAGGTTTAGAGACTCTCATAGGGGTGCACTTAGACTCGCGTGAGGGGCCCTTGTTATCTTGGTTCGCCTGAGGGCCCCACAATGGCGGCCAACTGACAACTTGGTTAATGAAGCCAAACTGTCGAAGTAACCTCTTCTGACGAACTCCCCTGCTAGCATCCCAGTACCTTGTATCGTCCTTTATGCGCAGCAGCAGTACCTTAGTGCGCAGCAGCAGTAACCTCCCTTAGTCCAATTACAGCTGCCCAGTACCTTGTATCGTCCTTTATGCGCAGCAGCAGTAGTACTCAATGGTGGCCAATAGCAACGGCAGTAGTCCCCACCAGCCACCAGCCGAGTGCAACAGAGATTGCCAACAGCTGCCAGCGGTAGCAGCGATAATCATTGCGCAGTACGTAGTGATAGCTTGTGCCCGGCCAACAGCTGCAGCAGCGGTGCATAGTCCGCACACCCTCAACAGCAGCCTATAGCAGTCACCAACAGAAGCAGTCCGTACTCAGTCCATTGCCCTTAGCAGTAGCAGTCCGTGCCCAGTCTGCAGCAGCCCGCAGCAGTAGTCTTGTGCATAGTCAGAAAAACAACAGCAGTTGTTCGCAGCATTCAGTCGCAGTATGCAGCGGCCAGCCGTAGTGTGCAGCAGCCTACTCTAAGCGTCGTCCAACCTCAGCGAGTCGCGTCTCCAGGAACCTGCAAATATCGCTTCTCAGCCCACAGCGGTTCACCAGCAGCCCAACAGGGTTCTTGCTGTCGTAGTAATCAGAGCCAGCCAATAACACCGGCGGAATCTCGGCAGCTACGTGGCTCACCCACTGCCCCTTCAGTGTCGCACCAACCCGGGGAAACGGCAGCCTCACCAGTAGAGCAATAGTCATGGACACCACAGTTCTGAAGAGTAATAGTCCTCACAGCATAGTAACATCAGTGTTACGAGGCATGAAAGATCAATAAAAACCAGTTTGTTGCAGGGGCAACAGTCCCGTAATAATGTTGTTTTAAAGGGGCACCGACCACCACTCCAGGCCCCTTTTGAGCAGTTGTGGCAACAATCTGGCGTTACCTCCGAAAGCAGCAGCGATCTCACTCCCTCCTCATAACAGCAGCCCTGTTGCAGAACCTGCTCAATCCCATTTGCGTGGTCTGCTAGCCCCCTAGAGTCCGTGGCCGGGTGCAGCTTGTACACAGTACAGTGGCGCCCCARCAGCTCCCCAAAGGTATAACACACCGCCAATCTCGTCTCAAGGAGGTCCGGCAAGGGCGCCCCGCTACCCAAAAACCTGTAGCAATCTCGACGCTATAGCGTACTGCGAAGAATCGTCTCTAGTACCGCAATAACCCGCAGCAGCGTGGGCAGCCGACCCACTCCCACAACCTGGACAACGCTGCAGTTCTTAAAGCACACCCGCAGCTGCGACGCAGCAACTCCGTCAGGCGCAACCACGCACAGCAGGCGCTCAAAACGAGCCTTATAGGATGYTCAACCAGTGTACTACTCAAATAGCGCAGCATCCAGGCCCCTATACCCTTTCTAACCGAGGAGCAGTCTGATATACCCCAACTGACCCGGAGTTT